TGGCTCGGACGCAGCGCCCTCGCTGCGCGACTTTTGTGCACGCGGCTTCTCCCCCGGCTTGCGCTGCGGCGTCGGCTTTGACTTGGCCGCTGCAGAGGGCTGGCCCAGCTTGCGCGGCTTGGAGTCGAGCTTGCGGCGGACGGGCGCGGCTGCGCTCGGCTTGGGCCCGTCGCCCTCCCCCTCGGCTGGCGCGTCGCCCTCGAGCGACGCCTCGGTCAGCGCCGCGTGAGCGGCCGACGGGGTGGCGGGAGCGGGCGTGGGCCTCTTGCGCGCCGCCGGCGCGGTGCGGACCGCTGGCTGGTGCAGGCCCCGGCGGCGAGGCGGTGGCGGCGGCGGCGACAACGTGCCCTCTCCCGGCGGGGCGGCCGCGGCCGGCGGCGGGTGGACTGGCTCGCTCTCGGGCATGGAAAAGGGGTCGGCGCCGCCGAGCAGCGCCTCGAGGTCGCCGAGCAGCGCCTCGAGGTCGGCGGCCTCGAGGTCGAAGGAGAAGGAGGAGCGCTCGTCGCCCATCGTCTCGACGAAGGCGTCGATCACGTCGGAGGGCGAGGGCGCGGGCGCGGGCGCGGGCGCGGGCGCGGGCGCGGGCACCGGCTCGGCAGCGAGCGCCGGGCTGCCGCGCGGCGTCGGGCCCTTGGGGCTGCCGGACAGGTCTGGCTCGGGCCGCCGCCCGCTCGGAGCCGCGCCGAGCAGCCCCGCGCCCGAGCCGCGCCGCTTCCTCGCCGCCTGAATGGGGAATGGAAGAGGGTCTCATTCGCGATGGCTCGAGAGCGCCCGAGGCGCGCCGCTTCTCGGCCGCCTCTGCGCCGGTGCGCTTGGCTTGGTCGAGGGCGAAAGCGGCCTGGCCAGCGGGGCCGTTCGAGACGGGCGGCTGCTGCGGCGGCGCGGCGTCACCGTCGCCAGACTTGCGGCCTCGCTTGGCGGGCTCAATCCCCGCCTCCGCACACTCCTTTTCGTACCGCGCCTTGTCGGCGGTGAACGCCGCATCGTACGGCGCCTTCTCCTCCTTGCCGGCGGCCTTCCACGCGGCGAGGGCGAGGCTGTGTACGTCGGAGGGGGAGGCGGAGGGGCTCTCGCCCTTGATCCTCGCCCGCGCGTCCTTGATGTACCGCGCGTATGCGGTCTTCGGCTTCTGAGGCTCCGCAGCTCCGCCGGCCGCCGGCCTCTTCTTCTCGTCGGGCGGCGGCGCCAGTCCCTTGGCTGCAAGCTGGCGGCGGAAATCACGTGCGTACCATGCGCTGACGGCTTGCTTGAACCTCTTCTTGTCACCCAGATAGTCTTCTATCGTTGGAAAAGGGTCGGATGACGGCACTGCGGCGGTCGGCAGCGCCGCAGTGGGCGGCTTTGGATCGGCGCCGTCGCCCTCCTCCTCGGCTGGCGCTTCGCCCTCGAGCACCTCGATTGGCTTCAAGGTGACCCCATCCAAAGAGCCCGGCTCGGAGTCGGCCGACGGCGACGTTGGCAGCGGCGCCTCGGGAGAGACCGGAACCGGGGGCGCGAGCTCCTCCTTGTTGAGGTAGCCGACAAGCCACTCGTAGTCGGACGCCTCGATCTGGTAGATTCGGGACAAGTCGCCGCCGAGCGACGCCTCGGTCAGCGCCGCGTGAGCGGCCGACGGGGTGGCGGGAGCGGGCGTGGGCCTCTTGCGCGCCGCCGGCGCGGTGCGGACCGCTGGCTGGTGCAGGCCCCGGCGGCGAGGCGGCGGCGGCGACAACGTGCCCTCTCCCGGCGGGGCGGCCGCGGCCGGCGGCGGGTGGACTGGCTCGCTCTCGGGCATGGAAAAGGGGTCGCTCGGCGGCGCGTCCTTCTCGTCACCCTCGTGCTCCTCGACGTCCGTCTCGACAACCTCCGGGATCGGCGCCGGCGAGCCAGCGGGCGCGGGCCTCGCCGCGGGATCGACCTCTCCGTCGCCGTCCTCGTCGTCCTCGTGCTCCTCGACGTCCATATCGACGACCTCCGGGACCTGCGACGACGAGGGCGCCTCCGGCTCCTCCTCGCCGACGCAGCCCGCCGCCTCGCCGGCAGCGACGGTGTCCGGCGCGACGGAGGCCTGCGACGCCTCCGCGTCCGCCTTGCTCTCCCGGTCGGAGCTGCTGCTCCGCCCCGGGGACGGCTTGGACGACCCGCCGTTGCCGCTAGAGGCCGGTGCCTCCGGTCGGCACGA